TTGCGTATGAAAAATTTTTTATTGAAAAATGTTCTTTCACGCTACAACGTCAGTGTACCTTCGTCTATTTAACGTTATAACAGTACAAAAATTGCATTTTTACAAGTTATCCAGCTTACGTGACTAAAATATCCCAGTTAGCAATCTGACAATTCAAAAGCTACGTCTCTTAATAATTAACAGAAGGCGCCGTAGCAGAGGCATTCTTTGGCGACAACGCAACATACTAGTCCCGATAAACCTTGCTGCTCCGCGATACATAATCGATGGATGTAAAATCCAGACAATAACGCGCACCCTCCGCGAACGTCGCGCGAAAATTCGCTCTTTCTACTACGCTTCAATAAAACGGCGTTTGACTTACGGTTCGTTCCTTAAATTTGGCTGGCCAACGTTGTTCGACTGATCTAATTCAACATGAAAGGTATCGCGAATTCGTCCCCATAACATCGTCAATACATACACGACCGTTGTGAACCGTAACGTGCAAACACCCGTAATCGAATATAAACGATACAAAACCTATACAGAGACTCGTTTAATTTTACCGTACACTGTCGTCATCACGAGCATTCACGTTCGCCAGCCAAAGCACGCCTAAAAAGTGCAGAAGCCCCTCTCCGCCATGGGTAAAATTCTTCTCTTCGTTCGTTCCATTTTCAACTTATTCATTCGTTGTCCGTTAAAAAAAAATTAGGATTCAAATTGTAGAACAAAGTTGTATTTCAAAGAATTCAAACTTATCCCGTATAGTTGTCCAATTGAATAAACGTCACGAGTAAACCTGCTAAATTAATAATGTTTATTATACAGTCTATTATTCGATAAAAATTTTACCCATCTTCGATTCCACGCGCGATTATTACACCGAATCAATCGAACCGCTTCTGCATCGCTAACAAGTGTCTAAACGCTTTTCCGCAATCTAGCTTACCGAAGCAAATCAGTCGACAATCACCGTTTTGCTACCTGGGCTATCATCAACGACGCTTTCGGCCGGAAACTTGCTCTCTACGCTGTGAAATCTTTTTCTTCGAAAACAATGTCGCTACGTTTTATACTCCCGGATATATATATATGTACGTTCCTAAGAGTCGATCACCTGAACGCAAGCATCCGGCCAAAGAGAATATCCTGTGCTAGCGCTAACAATTACTTCGTCGTGGTACACCTCGCTTCTAAAGCGAATTAAAGCAAACGCAACGAATGGATAAGAGCAAGTCGAGAATGTCGTGCGTACGATGTCTGTATAACCAGGAATGAACACGTTCGAATGATTTTGTATTTCGTGTACATCTAAAATACTGAACGCGTAAATTCAGTACTTAGAACGAAAGACAAACAATCTGATGGTGTTACATTATTCTGCGGTGATCAAATATCGATATTTGCTATTCTATGCAAAATACTAATTATATTTAACATCTACCGATCGCTCGATTTACGAGATACCTGTGTATTCTGCAGTTGTATAGCTATACAACACACGAATACTTTTAAGCATTCCATTGCAAATAGAATACAAATTAATCGTAAAGTAGCTGAACAAGTATTGTCAAAGTTAATCGACTGAAATGTTTTAACCGTAACTAATTTTTATCCAAAATAACAAAAACCTGCATATTACCAAAGAGATTCAAAAATAATTAACGGTTGAAACTAGAAATAAAAGTCTGTAAGGTTTCTGTCATTTGAATACTTTTTATAATATATTTCGCTCATCCCTGGTTTATACTAACGGAAACGTCTTATCCATTCGATGCCATCGAATCGCACACACTGTGTTTCTGCCTAAAAATGCCATAACCCGACCTCGCGCCAGTCGTTTCTAGACTGAACACATTTCGAAGCTTCTCATGGATTTCAATAACGGACAGGCAAAACTCACATCCCGATCAAAATTTTCGATTAACAACAAAAAGATGAAGGCCCTTGTATCGATTACTCGTTTAATAAGAATTAAAATCTGAACAATGGAATTAAATATTTCACAACGCAAGAGATTGAACAGAAAGCTATACTTAAACTAATTTTGCTTAACAAATTGAGTGGATTGCATTGCTTGCATCGCAAGCTCATAAAATTGATTGTTCGATAGAATATTTTATCACTCTAATAGAATTTTGCCTATCACTTATCCTTAGTATCAACGACTCGATAACGACGGCGTAAGTACTAAGCGCAATGCTCATTCGTCGTTTCGTTTACGCGACGATGATTACGTTACTTGGAATTACTGCCACGCAAACAACGAGGTCGGTTTTACATAGAAAACTTTCTTATTCTTTAACGGCCATCCATCTTTGGCAGAATCACGCGCACTCAATTACAAAAATTATTACTTACATCATACACGTTCGTTCGATGCGGATAATATCTCTTTGCATTTCATTAGTTAGTTCAGGTCCTGCCCTTTAAATCGATCGCGTATTCAGATACTGCGTTTCAGTACGAAATAATAATTCTACGTTGAACGAGTTTCCTGAAGTCGTTTGGAAGCAGTCTTTCAACATTTTCGCGTGCGTCACGTAAAAGTCGCCATTACAGTACGAGGCGAAAAAACATACCCCGTTGTCATAGTAACGCCAGCTCCCGAATAACAGACGCGCAACCTGGATGCGCGGGAGATTTGATTATTTCAATTTTCTTAGGAAATATAAAATGCAATTTTCGATCGTAATTTCACGTTGGTGGCCATATTTCCTTTTCGATGAACCTTCTAGGTTTTCTTCGACGAACGTTCGATACTACGTGGAACTATTAAAACACTAGAATCGATTTTTTTGTTGCAAGAATCAAACATCTCCAACACACCCAAGGTTGCAGTCACACGGCATCTGTTACTATACTGATGTCTAACATGTTTCTCGTATTGTACATGCATTTTCTTCTCTCGCTTCTTTTTTTTTTCGGTTTTCAGTTTCGCTTGCAACTTCTATCCTCTCTCTTTTTCCTTTTTTTTCTCTCTCTCTTTTTTTTAATTCGTTTTTTCGGTACATCTTTTATTCCTTTCTTGTTACCTTTTCGATCGCGCGCGTGCGCCATCGTTTATCTTGTTTCACAACTTTTGTCTGCGTTAATTGCGCGGTATTAATGTACAAATAATTATCTATACACACGTTAGCTGGTAAAAATTAGAATTGTATCGTTTGACTAGCTTTTGACCGTCTCTCCTGAAATAATCATACGTGCACAAAACTCTGGAATTCTAGTCGGACAACGTGATCTGCGTGTGCTATTGTGCGCAAAGATGGGCAAAATTCTTATTCGGATGAAAATCTCAAATAACGAATAATAGACCAACAACTTTTAATCTGTTATTTGTCAAATAAAAATACGGAATTTCAATGATAGAATAAAAATATTTCACGATGAATAAATAAAGCTTTTACTGGTCAGTTGTATTAAACGTCACAAATGAATTGCTACATCGTTGGTCTTACTCGTCGTTTATTATTCGAATAAAATTTTGTCCAGCTCTGATTATGTCTTGTGTACTGCGTGTATCCGTGTAATGTGATGTGTACGCGCGCGCGCGCGCGCACCGTGTGAAAGCAGTTTTACAATGTGAGGAAACAAACTGTTATGTGCGTGTGTGTGAACATTGTCAAAATCAGTTTTGTGTGAGGAGTAAGAAGAGGGGGACAAATCGTTACTGCGCGAATAATCAATTTGTCGATATAGAAAACGACTGAATCGTTCATTATGAAAATGATGTAATATCTTCTAAACTGAACGATAAGCTTAAAAAAGTGTTTAAAAATCATTAGTGCAGCCTCTTTGGAGCCGCTGTATCATTTGTTTCTTACTTAAACTATCGTTACTACAATGGCAACTGTGTACTCCTCTCGAGAGTTATTTTTCAAAATTGATCCGCTACTTACAAACTACGACCGATACAATTTTTCAGTACTACATTCGTACTATATTTCATCGCGAAATCTTATTATAAAGAAAAAAAAAATAAACTTAATTTACATTAAAAGAAATAACGTTCATCGCGCCTAATTAAACAATTGATAAATTTGATTATCGATCAGTGCTTGTCTATATTTTTGGAGGTCACTTTCACAACGAACGACTCAAATTGTTAGCAGAAAAATGTTTCGTATGTGTGAGTTGTGTATATGTTTACGTGTACGCGGGTTATGAAAGTTTGGGGAACAAATCCGTCGCTGCAACATATTGTTTATCGATCGTTCCAAGTTCTCCATAGACAATCCTTCTCGCTCGAGCAGGCTAATTAATTAATTAAATCGAGAGAAATCACCGCGCGCCATTACTTAGATCCATCATCCTACCGAAGAGTATAATCGTTAAAATAATCATTAAAACCTAGAATATTACAACTAACGTTACTGTCGTTATAACACGTTTCACATTTCACTCGTTCCCTTTCTCTCTCTCTCGCATTCTGTATAAGTTCTAATTCTTAATATTTTGACAGGTTTTTCCTTCCGCAGTCTTCCAATTGTTTCTATTCACGCAGCCGTGCAGCTATCTACGAATTAAACGAATGCGAAAACGTCCGAAATTCACCGGCACACGGCGCGTGAATTATTCAGTCTTTCGTTTATATTTTTTTTTTTCTTCTTATCGCGTTTATCGGTACAATTAGTCGCTAATACTATCTTAAATCGTTATTTCATTAATTATTATTATTATCGTTAAATTTAACCTTCTCTCATCTTGATCGATCTTTTTTTTTTCCCCATCTTGTCTTGCATGAAAATATTATGCTACGTTTTTACTCGCGACCGTTACATTTGAGTGCTAAAAGTGCATAATAAGAGCAGTTTAATGATGTATGCTTATAATTTAAAGCCACAGATTTCGATGTCGCGTCGTGCAAAATACGATCCAGTCAATATATGTATATACGTAATATAATATATATATATATATATATTACACGATGCAATCATACACATCTTCCTAATAGCATTTGGCTTGCCAAATTCTGTCAGTTTCATTAAATAGTATAATTGCATCGGGTATAATAAAAAATATATATATATATATTACGTATGTACATATACGTGTCTCCATCGTTTCACAACGTCGTCTACGTATAATATTTAGTCTTATACCCTTTACGTTCGCTTAATACGTCCTTAAGGCCTTTAAAATCCGTTTATTGTATATAATCATTTTCGCCTTTTCATAATTTTTTTTCTTTTTTAATCCTTGATTCCTTCCCCTTTATATCGTTCTTTTCCGAAACATGGTAACTCTCGCATACGAGTGTAAAAAATCACGAGATCTGTGCGCAAACTACAAAGCATACACGCTGGTTTAGGTTTATCTCTTCTCGGTATAGCAGAGATGAATTTTTAAAAACGTGTACGTTGTTCGTTCTCTTTTTCTTGTTTACCCCATCCCGCCCGTCCCTCTTTTTTTTTTTTTTAAAAGCATGTAACGAACTGTCGAACTTTTTTTCTTGTTAAGTATGATTCCTCCATAGAGAGAGAATTACAGTAATAATACAGTGATAGTGGAGATAGTATAATAGTAGTAATAGCAGTACTTGTAGTAGTAATAGTAGCGACACTACCGGTAGTAGAGTAGTAGGGGATAGTATAGTGTGGTAGGATTGGTAATAGTAGAAGCAGCGGTAACGACAGACGATGAAAGTTAATAACAGCGTAAAAAGGATACGGAATAATGAGCGTTAGTCGTATGATTGTAGAAATGGTTAGCAACAGCGGGCGTTGGAGATTTGTATAGTGATAATAATAGCGATAATTATAATGATTGTAATAATAGTAATGGGCGTATAGTAATGACGACGCTGATGGTAAATAGTGGCCAAAGCTGTCGATGAAAATAATAATGATAATTGAAAATAGTAATGGTAAATAGCAACAGCGGCGGCGATGAATAAGAGGAGAATAAACATAATGATAATAATGATAAAAAAAAAAAGAAGTAAAAATCAGTCAGTCATTAAAATGAATTACATTACATTAATATATAATGTGTCCTGGCGCTTAAAATCAGACGAATTCCATTTCCCGAAATGGATAACACGAAAAATAATATTGCAAACATCGCACAATAATTGTGGTGTACCTTTTTCGTCCCCCATTGTTTTTTTTTCCTTTCACATATATATGTTATACGATTTAATCCGCTTCCCATAAAATTCTATCATATGTGTATACATATATATTCTTTATATAATACATTTATATAGATGCAGCAAATAGTCAAGGAAAGAATCTATCTTCCTAATAGCATTTGGCTTGCCAAATTCTGTCAGTTTCATTAAATAGTATAATTGCATCGGGTATAATAAAAAATATTATTTTTTTTTCCTTTTCATTTTTTTTTTTTTGTTCTCGCGTGTCGTTTCGTGAACGCCGCGAACTCGAGTTACCTTGGTAATGTCTCAAATGTCGGACATTTTCTTTCATTTGGTAGGGGCTATTAAAGCGTGAATGTGTGCATGTGGGACACGCGCACTTGTCTCAGCGCTATATATCGTCGCTGTCGGTCTCTTTGTCGCAAGATCTACGAAAGTCAGTCTTGCTTTTTCGGCTTTGAAGAAAAAAAAAAAAAAAAGAAACGCAGCTAGGACACGCGTATCACTTTAGAAAAAATTTCCTTTTTTTCAAACAGGACTTACTGTGTAGATCCAGTCAACGAAACGAAGAATTCGTTAGGCCTCGCCGAAACCACCGATCGCCTGTTCGGTCATTCTTAAGCAAAGAGATTCTAGACGAGAATTGATCTCCGGTTCCGTTGTTTCGGATGTGTTGTTCCCAGAGTGGCCAAGGAAATGATCCCTCGGTGCACTGTATGTACGCTGTAACGTTCTTTGTAACTGCTGAAGTATAAACAGAGATCATTTCTTAGACAAATTAGTCGCGCATGGCGCCAAGATACAACGTATACGTAATCGACGGGTATCGATACATTCGTGTAGTTTATAGAAACCGATGAAAAGATGATAATAAAAGTAGCATACACCGTAGCATAAAATAGCTTTATGGTTTTATAAAAGTACATACCTGTAAACTAGATTCTTGTAAACTAGGTCGTTTCTCGGCTGCGTGGACTGGACGTAAAGTATTCTGATTTACACTTTGGTTCTGATTATTTTGTAAATACGGAGTAGATATACTATTTCTGTGAGGGCTGACCACAAAAGAATTATTTTGCGGATGCGTATTATGAATGTGTCCCAAATTCAGACTTGGTTTTCTATTGTGCTGCTGCGGGTTACAGTATCTTCTGTTGTTGTATCCGTAATTATGTTGCCACCTGAAATTGTAATTGTACGACTGTCAACCTTGTAATCGATCGTATGCCTTGAATCTTTAATTGCTATCTCTGCAATCGATGCACAGTAATCGTATGCCTTTTCCCTTACTTCGGAGTAGGTCGTGGATTTCCGAGCCTGCTACGCCACTGTTGAACCTTTTCCTTCTGGTTTGGAGTAAAGCAATCATGCTGCAATACTTTCTCTAATATGTTAATACAAGCGCACAAAATGCCATCATCCACGCTATCCAATGCCATTCTGCTACACACTAAGAAACAAACGAACGCAAAATGTTAAAACGTTTACATATTTGTTACCCGTATTTCCATAAACATCATGCTAACCAAAACGTTATACTTACGTTTGCCAAGGACCTTGCTGAATTGCGCTGGTATATCTTGCGGATCGTTTTCTTGACTTGGTTTCATAGGTGTAGCTAGAATTGATTTTAATTCGTCGATAGTATTGACCAGCACCGTTGGCCCTTGTAAGAATGATGTCGACTGTGTACTATCGCGCGTCGGTTGGAGTAAATCTTTTTCTAAATTTAAGAGCGTCGAGTAACGCTGCTGCAATTTCGCGATTGAAAGGGCTAATTTGTGTCTAGCTCCTTTTGTCACTCCTTGCTCTGCTAATTGATCTTCTGTCAATTGAAGCATTTCCTCGTAACTGAGAGTAACAAATAGATAGCTATACTTATGAAGACGTAAGGTTTTAAGCCATGATGGAACATCTGTAAGTAGAAGAGAGAGAACGCGTTAACGGACACTTCCTAGCAATGAATCGTAAATGTTTAAAGCCGTACACACGCATACCTCTCATACCACTAGCCAGCGATAAGTTAGAAGCTTCGTCTAAGCGCCCTTCGCTACCGCTGCTCGCGCAAGAGCTTTGAGGACTCAGTGGCCCTAATCCGATAAGATTGCCTGTTTTAAAATTAACGATTACTCGATACATAGTAAAAATGCAATTAACCAATTTTTCCACGCTATAAGGTCGAATCAAACTAACTTGTGTGGTCTCCAGAGACACTGAAACTTCGTGGCTTGTGTCTAGTTGTGCAGTTTACGTTATTACTGCGATCGACAACTTCTAAATGATGAGGAGGAGCGACTGGTGGTGTTAAACTATTCGATCGACGTTGACGAGATACAGGCGGGGGAAACTGCATATTGAAGGCAGTACCTGGTTGTGTACCAAACAAAGTTGTCTGATCATTTTGTTGCTGTTTAGAATTTCGCTGCCACGTATTGTCCCACCTGGAGAGAAAATAAAAATTAGTAAAAATAGAATCGATCTAGATCTATATCAAAAATACAACTTACAGATTTTTCTAACTCACCTAATAGTAGTATTGGTATATTCCTCGAGGCTATGTATCGGTGGTGTACCGCTAATACGTTCTTCGAGATGTCTAAGCCACTGAGTCAAAGAACGTCTATCTTGACTAGTTATAGCTGGATGGATCAAAGTATAACTTAAGAGTTGTTGAGTCTGCTCTGTATATTGCCCTGTAGTTACGCAATGGCTCACTAATTCTGGTATCGCTACTAAGTAGCATTGTTTGCACTCTACATTCCCAGGCCTTAATAGTGGTAGGTGTGTTAACAGTTGGTTAATAGCGACTTCTGTCGACTCTGAGAGCAATGAGTTAATGAATGCTGCAACAATATTTTTATCGCTAAGTTATTCTAATTACACGAATACTACATGTTCTTGTATTAAATATCGCACAGTTATATTCGTACTAATCAAAATAATTACCTGGATTATTGGCATTTAATTCCTGTGTATCCAATTCAGAAACAGAGTGCAAGGAATGCTGCACTGCTTGTGCAAGAAACCTAGCTTGAACTGCAGGAATGCGACGAAGTAGAGCATATAGAACCACGGTTTGTTCGCATTCGTTCCACTGTGAGAACACTCGAGTGAGTTCACCTACTTGTTCACAGAACAGAGCACCCGGTGACCACTTCATTTTTTTTACAGTGTTTTAGATGTCAAGGAGCAAATATCAAAAGCTCCACTTTCTTCAGAGATGCGTAGATTACGATTTAACTGTATTCCAACAACGTTCGAATAATGACCGGCATGTGCCAATATTCTGTAGTAAAACAATGCAACATTTACATATGAGTTCTATATGTTAACTATTACTTTTATTATTTTAGTTATACAAGAAATCTTACGTTCCTGTAGATAACAATGATATACTAACAATATTAAAAAACGTTAAATAGCTGCAAGATATATAGTAATTAAAAATTACCTTTGAATTTATCTTTTATTATCAAATATTTTATAAAGGAAAAGAAATCAGAGAATCGAATAATTTAATAGTCATAAGTAGTGTCAACAAGTGAATATTTAACGTAAATTAACATAGCTTTCTAGAACAGTGAAAGTGAGCAATCACTCGATTTTTATTACTAAATTCATCCACGTTCACTTAGAAACAAAGCGTTGCGTACTAGCGCAATGAAAATAAGTAACGTTAACTCCAAATCGCGAATTAATATCAAAAAGATATCTTTCCTCTCTTTTCAACGAAATAATAATCACCGCGCTGATATATGTATATAAAACGCTTGGATTTTACGCACTTCGCACGCATTAACGAACACCGTTGCTCGACATAACCTCGAAATCACATTCAAATGACGCATTGCGTGCGTATTTGACATCAAACAGATTTTGAGAGCTCTCAACGGGCATCGTATTTAAACGTTTTCAGTTTCCAATTCAAAACCATTTTAAAATCCTACTCTTTCCATTTACAATTTATCTACTCTACTGGTATACATATTTTATTTCGCTTTACGAACCAAACAATTTCGTTAATTTCTCGAGGTATTTTCGAAAATATTTAAATACAAAGGCTCGTCGAGAACTCTCAAACTGTATTATAACCTCAAAGCATCTGTGTACATTGCATAGACGTGTAGATACATCGATAAGAATTCCACTGAGGTCAAGTTTGTTTACCCCGCGATGCGTGTGTATTTATAGCTTTCCTGTTACGATCCATTCGGCGGTGCAATGGCACCGTGTGCGAGACTTTACATGTCTAACAACGATTGATAAGATACGATCACTTTTACAGGATGCAAACATCGCGGCGACGTTTCGTAGATACCGTCGATCACCGAAATCTCGCTATGCGCGATAAAATTCGACGTCTCACAGCGAAATTCCACCTTATATATCCATAGAATATTTGGAGTCGCTTTCGTCGGTGCCGCCGCGTATCTTTGTATGCGTGGGGCACCGTAGAGGAGAAAGGACGAAGAACGAAGGGAGGAAAACAAGAGAGCGAAAAAAACTCGTATATACGGGAATATTAATCGTTTTCATAACAAAAGCAGCCCGACGACGATCAGACTCGATAATCGAACGCGTATCAAACGATTCAGAGAGTTATTCTTAAGGAGGTAACGAATTATATTGCTACTATACGACCAGCACTCGGCCATTGAGCCGAACAGCAAACAACAAATTGTATGCTTGAATCGGTCAACCCGCTACCGCTTTGTAATGGAGCTACGTAAATTGTTGTAATTACCGTGTGCAAGGCTGGAGATGGCTGCTCCACTGGATCGTTGTGCCCCTTGCAAAATAACAACAATACACAATTATAGCATTTTATACAACGTTGAGTTAAAGGAAACATCTATCCACCATGCGGTACGGTGGGCCTACGTGACCACACTGGTTCGCCGTCTCGATTCGTTGCAGAACCACCCCTCTGTTATTGGTTCTCGCGCGAACGGCACCAACCAATCGCGTGACGACTTGAGGCGCGGTTCGTTTGTGTCTCCAAACGCCTCATTTGAAATCTACAATTATAAATGAACAATGTGTAGTTTTTCTAAGCTAATTATTTAGTAATTGTCATTATTCGTTGATCGACAATCATAATTATTAATTACTCGGTGATCGTAATCTAATGCTATTTCGATATCGTTTAGAAAGTTAGTCGAATTTACTTGATTCATGTCTTTCGTTTTCATTCGAAATTATCTTTTAATTTTTAATTTTCAAAGAGATCTGAACTTTAACTATTTTAATTGATTATATGGAAAATACAAGAATACGAGAACAGATAAAATTGCCTATCTACAAACTCAAGAACTTACTGTACATACATATTCGTTATCTTGTTTGTATTATTGATATCAACGAGAAGTTCGTTACACTATAATTTGCAAATTGTTAGCTGTTCGTAACAGTCCTAATTATTTAATTTAAAAACTCGTTTATTATAATTTATTGTGTTTATTCGATATTATTTTAAAACAGTTAAAACAGTAGACACACTCTTTATTTACAATCAGACTTATCGTGGTATACACGTTTAAACGTAAAATAACTTAAAAAGAAAACAGCAGATCATTAGAAATACGTAATACCATAAGACAAAACACATTTGATGTTTACAAAAACATTCAATCTATATATATAAATTATTGTATGCCAGTGAAACAATTTTTAAAGCTTACTTCAAGTAACAAAGGAACACAAGGAAGGGAGAAATTGTTTTCACAGCGACTATAGCATATTTGTTATCCTATGACCTGCTACTTGTCATAGAGTATTAAATATTGTCCCCCATTCCATCACTCTCTGTGACCAAAGCACGCTCCAGGATGACGCGGCCTTCCTTGTATCGTTGATTATCGTCTGTTGCAAATTCATACACCCATCCAAGCTTAGCATCACAGTTTTTGCAGCTGACGTCTCGGACCATGTGACGACCCGTCAACATCACTCTATCTTGTACCTCGCTGTATATCATTGTAGACAAATTAAATTATGAATATGCAACACCTTTTATTAGACTATTCTGTATCCTGTGCACTCGATAAAGCTAAAAAGCTAAATATACATAAATACAAAAATCATGAACCTAAGAATGAATGAAATCTATAAAAGTTCCCAAGATATAAACTATGTTTAAAAAAACAATTATAATAACATAATTTTCCTTGCGTATTCATATACCCCTTGTTTTTATACAGATACTTTAAATACTGTCAGAATTTAGTCAACTTCTTCTCCACTTTCTTAGGTACATGACAATAATGATATTTCCTCTTTATGTAATTGTCTTGAGTGTTCAATTTGAGAACTTTCAAAACACAAATGTACGATATGTCGCATCGTAACGTCTTTTAACACTTCGAGGTACACGATTTAAAAGAAAGATAAGACTCAAGCTGCACAAAAGAACAGCGTTATTAACTTATTAATGGATTTTTACTTATTTCACAATGGAGCAGTTTTTAAATCCATCTTACCCCGAAGAGTTAATATCGATTAAAGAGGGAAGCGGGAATACCTGTAATTTAAGTTGACGACTTTGTTAAATAGAAAAGCACGACCCGTGGCGCCTGTAAAACGCGTGCTTATCAGCTGACCTCTGTTTGTAAGATTGGTGTCACAGGCAGCGCAAGAAAACAGTCGGGTGCCTCCGATGTGCTCCAAGAAAATTACACCCATCCTGCAATGCTGTCAATTGCTTTCCAAACGTTCAATAAAAATTAACAGCAACTGAGAAATTCAAAATCTGTTTCGAAACAACGAAACTAGCGAGTCACGTAATTTGACGTAGCTATCGCTACCACGCTACTGTCACAGCAAGACATATACAGACATGTATACATACTATAGTGGCGTAGAAGCTACAATGCCACATAGTATACACAATGATACAGTACACTCAACGTTCTTAGTTGTCAAGTCGATTTCAATCACGATATATAAATCTTTCGTGTTTCTAGATGCACATCCTCTATAGAAATTTTGAACGTGCGAGATAAGAGACCCTCTAGTCGGAGTCACGAAATAACGTCGAGGTTAGGTCGGCTTCCGCCATTTTTCAACTGATACCGCGAGATTTAATTTGAAAACCGTGAACCGTTGCAATCAGTTCTAATGTTTACACGCTGAAGCCCGAATAAGAGAAAAACCACGCAAATAATAAATTTCTCGAAAGATCTACATTAGAGGGTTTATAGCTCGGGTACCTCGGGATTGCTAAACCCGTACTGTAGTTACATTAGCAATTAAACATAACTACAGCTCCTGAGGGCTACTTACACGAATGTGTGAATTTAATGTATTATTATCTTTTAATGCCTAATTGCCTACGTATAGTTTTATTTATAGTATTGCATCTGATTTCTTTATATATATATTTACTACAGAGAGACACAATGACTACAATTGTATTTTAATGCATATATTCGTAAAGTGTACATCGATCATTTTTTATTGACGTAAGTCAGGAATAAACAGAACTCGAGTAATTTTTAATTCTAACCTTACGTCTAGTTATATAGACGAAATGAAACAAAATACAATCGTCAAAATGTATTTTTAGAATATGATGCAAGAAGTATAAATATATTTTGCTATTTGGATACTTAAACAATTTCGTAAATCAGATAGTAATTAGTTAAATGAAATAATTTTATATGATCAAAGTACGCTGCAAACAATTTCAAGTTTACATCAAAATATTATATCTTTATTATTCATATAAATGGTATACAATATGTTACAAGTATATATACATATACATATACATATATATACGAGTGTATATATATATATATACATATATGTTCGTGTAAATTATACATTTTAAAGCTAGGTACATAGATGTTTGTGCAGTAAAATTCGAAACACTTTCCCTTAATTTTTTTTTCTTTTAAGAATTCCAAATATTCGGACGCTGGCCACAAAGGCTCGCTATATAGTTATGTACCGTAACCACAATTAGAAACTGTAGAAGGTATAAATATAAAAGTCAAATGACAGTTAGAATGGCGAAATGAATCGAAAATATATTGTTGGTCATTGTTTAATATCTATGTTCATATCTCTTCAAGGCACATTTGAAATGTAAACGGTATACTCATTTCCATATTACAGAAGATTTTACTAACATTAGTTACCCCTATCATTTCGCTAACACTGTCTGGAGTTAGACTTCAATGAACTTAAAGAGGTGAAAAAGAAAAGGAGAGAAAATGAATAGAAAAATATAAAATATTAAAAACTCCTTTAGCCAAAATCACAGACAAGTCCCTTACTTTCTCAAACAGAGCACAGAATCGCATTTTCATGGTCTTAACACTAAAGTAATAGTTAGTTGATATAAATATTATAAATATACATTCATATATATATATATGTAGTCTTATCAAATTACATACATACATGTATACATACGCTTCCTGATACGAGAGAACACTCGCTAACAATAAAATTTACATTTTCTATTTTGCACACATTACATTATTACGTATGTTTACATGTACGCACGTATAACGTATAAACAGTGGTCTTGAATATGTGTATAAATATATATATATACATAAATATTTATACTTGTATATTTTGATTATATCCTTTTTTGATATTCAGATCATGAAGGATATCTTTCATAATACTGCACCTATTTCTATGTACATAAAGTGTTTACAGAACATAATGAAATACAGATAAAATGTACGCCGATGATAATAACAAAAAAATAGTAACAAGTGACTTTGCAATTATTACATGTTATCATTACTACACATAGATATGATAAAATGCCCTGTTCATCGGCTTTTGTTAAGATTTACGGCACTGTTACTGTCACTTTTCGATCGCATTTACATTTTATATTAGAAAAATTCATCCGCAAGTTGAAATCCTTGCTTTACCAACATCATCCTATAATACACACCGACTAATATTTCTTACTATATGCACCTTTCCTATCCTTCATCGATCATTTCTCCAATCAGGTCCTATGTGACAATATTACATTTGTTGGAAGTTGCACAAATTTCCCAATGAATAGCAATACGCGGGCATTTTCTCAAATTAGATAAAATGGCTATCATCTGCACTGCAGGTATTCATTAACAAGTATAGAATGTGTGACGCAATATTTTAATAATTACACACAACAAAAAAGTGGAAACTAGAATCTTTCTTCAGTATGTAATAGTAACAACATTATTTGTTAACAAACTATACAAAAAACTATCTTTCATTGACCACGTTTGTAGGACATTTATGCAACATAAAAGAAATATCTTTATATGTTGAGTCGCGAAATAATTATAGCAGTCACAATATTAATATTCATAATTAACAGCAATTAACGACACAGATATTAACGATAATAACGTGATACATATTTGATCAGTTGGAAACGTTATTATGTTTTAACAGCAATCAAAGCAATAATTTCATTAATTCCACTAATAAGAAATTATACTAAGAAATAAACGAATAAGATTTTGGTTTGCGTAGCGCAACTTCGTATCCCAAACGACTGCTACATATCGAAAAATATATCTTATGTGTTATGTTTGGTAAGCTTTGTTCTGTTGGCGGCAACTTCTGCAAGACACGCCAATGCTTCTAAGTCCGGCGATGTACACCACGCTATATTAACATTTGTGCAGATAATTAGATTTCTTTAGAAATAATACTAAATATATAACGCTGAATGAACACTACATCATCTTTTATATCTTTATACTTACATTCATTGGATTCCTCAATTTCTTGCTTAAAATCATTTATAGCTGCAGCATTACGCGTAATGCTCTGTTTTCGTGCTTTCCTCTTTTGACTTCCAACAAGAAGAGCTTTTTCTGCGTCTTCCGCAGTTTGACTGTTTGGATTAGTGTTAAAATTATTTTGATATCTTTTGTTATTTAAAGCTAATGTGAACTTTTGTACGATCTTTTTCTTTTTCGTACGTTGTTGTTTCTTTTTTTCTTGAAATTCTTCTAAACTTAAAGATGGTAATGCTTCGATTTTCTTCTCTAAGTTAAAGTCCCTACACATGAAAATAACACATAAAAATAATATATTTTTACTAGGTAACATCTTAGTCTACGATATCTTGAAATAAAAATAATTTATAACTTACTCAGCTTTAAATCTTTTACGTGCTGTCCAAGGTCCAAAATCTAATTCTCCTTCTGTTCCTTCTATCTCTGTTCCTTCAGTTTCTGTATCTTCTGGTTTTGAAGCTTCGATATTTCCTTCGGCACTGAATAGAATATTCACGTTATTTACTTTTATTTAAATTATCATTAAATAAATTAAATTACCTTTCCGCGAGATGTTCTAATTCGCTACGAGAACTATTTCCACCTTCGCTACTCAAGGAATCAGTTTTCTCGCTGACATTTGACGAAATTGAATTTCTTCTCTCATTTGGTTGACCATCGCTGCTAACAGAAGCATTATTTAAAACAGATTACACTTTGAATGATACATTAAATAGTACATCGTGTATGTATTTTTTTAAATATACACTTATTTACCTACGATTACCAGTTTGCCGTCTTCGTTTAGGTTGCTGCCCTGATGAGCCAATATTTTTCATTTGTTCCGCAAGGAATTTTTGGTAACGTAAACCTTTGCACGTTCGTTCGCTTTTAAAATTATTTTCCTCAGAAGACATGTTTGTAGTCAAAAAATTATTCATCTCTATCTTCTCATCTTCTGTATCCTAAACGTAATTATTAATGTTAGTATTATACAAAATTGTACAAATATATTTAAGAAAATAGTTTCTTACGTATTGCTGTTCGTTATTGTTCGATTCAGATTTTATCCTTTTTTTTGCATCAAAAAGATCAGCTTTGCATTCCCTCTTATCGTCGGGTGAGAGAGGTATATCTGGATATTTTTTTTTTGGAGTTTCTGGAACTTCACCATCGCTTTCATTTGCAGAACCATTAACATTTGCCTGCTCATCTGTTATTTGTGTTTTTTGAGGTGTAAATAGAGAACTGAGGCCACCAAGTTGAGATTCGTCTGCTAATTTGCCTGGTTGAATAGATTGTCCGTCTCGTTCATTGGACTTTGAATAATCGGAAGACTCATTCTCGGATTTCAATTTCTCTACAGGTTGCTCGCTAGAACTAGTTTCTGCTTTTTTATTTGTAGGCCTAGTATTCAAAGTACGTAAAGGAGGTGCTGGTAATTTGTACCATTTAAAATCAGGATTTGCATTCAAGAATGCATCTTTGTACTGAAAGATAATTAAAACATTGTCATTTCCTTTAAATCTGGTAACGAATATTGTAATAAGTAAATGTTAATATGAATTTACAAAGTACTAACAAGAATATTAAGCTAGTTCATACATAATAAGCTTCCAAGGTTTGTAATATACTATTTAGAATTACATCAATGTATGATTGCCAATGTAACATTTAGTTTTTCTATGTTACAAATAATTTACCTCCTGTGCTAAATTTGTATATGAACGCTTTTGATCTGGATGAAGAGTGGCCCACCATTCTCCGAGAACCCTTGTGACTGCTCGATTTTCTAAATGTGGGAAACCAGACCGCACTGAACCACGATGTCGTTTACAAAAAATGAGAAATGCATTCATCGGTCTCCTTGCATGGTGGGCTGGTTCTCTTAACTCCTGTGGTTCCTAATTATTAATTCAGAATTATAAGTTCATAATTCTATCAAACATTTGCAAGAACATACAACTTATTAATGACAATATTTAAACGAGATAAAAAGAGAAATAAATATGTTTTTTAAAAGTATATTTTTTATACTGCGAAACAAATAGTGTTGCTGCATTAGATATATATGAAACATATACTTATAAATTTAAAAAATAAAACTTTAAAACTGATATATTTAAAACTCAATACATGTAAAGAGTAATATTGTACGACTAAAATTTAACAGTTGTAATATAATAATAATGATACTTGATAGTTCATTTTGTGCAATATAAAAATTGTACTGCATTAAATGATACTGTAGTAAAACTTTGCATAAAATATGTTTTTATTAATCTTTATGACACACCAATATGTAGTTATGCTATAGCATTTGTGAAGCCTTAAAATCACATACCTTGGCAGTTTCTAAGGTCACATACGCTTACCTGGATGTTTATATGCAATGATAATCCATTAAAACCTATCGCTTATGTCAGACTCAGTTTAAAAAATATACTTTGGTATAATAATTTTATAAACGATTACATATTTTTTTAATAACTACTACAAAACCTATTCGACTTTTCCTTAATAATACAATTGTAATAAAGAATTGATTGAAAGTAGCTGATATTATAGTTGAAATAATACAGTTTTCAATCTTATTAGTTCAAACATATTACAATAAAAAATTATGTAACTCGTTTATCGTTACGTGCCAGGTAAATTTCACATATATATAAAAAAAAGAAATGTACAATAATTTCCTCAATAACAATTTATTGTAACGTGCACAATGAAATAAAATAATTTTCTTGAGACATATTTAAATATTCTTCGTTCTCGATACCGCAAGTATCGCTCTATTCACCTCCATAGTTAATGTTATACAAGTAATCGCAAAATTTAAAGTGAATCGACGCACGAAACATGACGAAGATCGTATACATAAGTAATACACGTACATATGTGCAAGGCACAAAATAAAATAAAAAATATATATTGGTTTCGGTCCGCGAAAACAGTCGTTTCGTTAATACATTCTTATCGTTTCAATATTTTTACCTTCCCGATAAATCTCGTCTTTATTGCGAAACGATGTAAATACACTAATTTATATTTTCGTGCAACATTATGAAATCGTATGTAAATTGCACCATCATCTAGATTCTAGACATTGTGCGAAAAGAATGGGCATTCAACTGGTGTACGTGACGTTCGCAAAGAAAAATAATAAAATCATGCGCAAACGATTTTTCCAAAAAAGAAAGGAACGATTTCGTTCCATAATAAATCACGAGAGGAAAATCGTGTCTATTTATGGTACAACGACAAGAGAACGATTTATAACAAACGCTCGATTTGATAGAATTCAATGTCAGATGAACAGAAACATTCGTGGTATTCCCGAAATATCTTCGCGATTACACTGATCGACGGATACACGATTGAAATTAGTGGCAGGAACTAGTCCGATCTCGTTGGAAAAAGAAATACAGATATCTGTCGTCATACGAGGCATATGTTAATTTTCGTACTGTGTCTAATTGCAGCGAGCGCGCAAAGTTCAGTATATTTCTACCAAACATCTTAATCGTGTTAATTTTCAATCATCTCGATGCGAAAATCGTCCAAATTAAAATCGACGGGGAAAATTATGGTGGAAATATTAACAAAAAAACGTCGAGCGTATCGCTTGTAATACAGCTTTCGTCGATGTTATTGTAACGTTGATTGCCACGGTCAGCCACGATTCCTTTCAAATTTCTACACGAGCTTTTTACGTAGTTTTTTTTTTGTAACGAAAAATTATACAATCATCTTTTGGTAGCTAAAACTCGAAGGAAATCGGATATTGCATATTTTCTCGCAGGATTTCATGACACCTTCCCGATCGTCTACTGACAGCTGCTTCTACGAATGTAAATACTGCACACAACGATCTATATGTATATCTGTGGCTCACAAGCAAACTATGTAAAGTAAAGACACTGAGAATCTAATAAATTTAAATGGCAACGAAGTATATAACATCAGTCGGGTTAACCTAACATTTTTCTTTCAAATTTACTAAGTTTCGACTAAACATTGTTCAACATTTAGACGAGAATTATATGTATATCTTTTTATGCATCGATGATCTGGCAAATATTTGAATGAAGCGAAACGTCTCGTTGAAAAATTCCTGTCCGCGTAAAACAGAAGTATGTTTTCGTACTGTCCGTTCCGTAGTTCCTCTGGCTGTCAAATATTTATCAACGAAGAACCAAAAGTCAAAGACGTCGATTGTTCGTTTTAGTGTGACTGATCCCCCGAGACATTTGTATTAAATCCCCGTTTTGTTGACTCGAAACCATCGCGAATGGATCGCACGTTCGATCGTTTCGAACGACGAGCCTGCCTCTCGACAATCCCACGAATCCGTCATTTTATCGAGCATATCGAAAAGTCATTCGCGACACGAGAAAAATACAATGTATTTCTCCCCTACTCACCTTGCGTTGTTGCTCGTTGGCAGCCATTTCTGATTTCACTTGACAATTCACTCAGCGGCGCATAATAAAGATAAAGCTTCACCACACCGACTGGCCCTCTCTTTTCCTCTATGCTCTCGCTTTCTTCCTCTGGTTCTCTTTCCGTGTCCACGAATTAACCTCTCCTTCTTACGTGCCTATCCCTGTCTCTCTCTCGTCCCGATATGCGTTCGTGCACTGTTGTTTCTCGTGCAGCCCACGGTTAAAAAGAAAATTTCTCGCGAGCCAGTACCCCGCTATCTTTTATCGTTGCCCGACACGATCGGTAATTTCGAGAACACTTCAGGCCACGCTGTACTCGAATCGCCCGAGTACTGTCATCCTAACAAATTTTCTGTGTTTCCAACGAAAAGCAAACTGTTTCCCCGTGCAAACGTCACCGGAATCTACAAACGTCACTATTAAAACCAATCACGCGCGGCTGTTTTCACTCCGAGGGGATTACCTTGAAATAACCGACGAATTCCGCGTTGCCTCGATTCCTTATTAATTTTAGATCTCACTCGCGGACCGCCGAATTTTTCTTTCGTCTGGTTACGAACTGCACGTATAATGAAAAAAACAATATATTAACGTGCGTGCATTTTCAGCATCGTGCGCATCGCGTTCGAATAAGTACACGGTTCGCGCGTACAAGTGGGCTACACAGTGTCAACAATGAAACCATGTAAAAGTTACTGAAGGAAACCTAAAAATAATCGACCGTGTCGCTTCGTTTCGCAGAACGAGCTCGTTGAAAGAGAAAGCATTGTTTTTATATGAGAAATCAATGGGTAAACTATCGATTGTAAACGTGAAATGGTCATTTTCTGATATGAATTTACGGTGCGTTCGCTGAGAATGTAAAACGTGATAAACAAAACCACGTGACTGAGGCAGGACCGACGACAGCGAATTATGTTCTAGAGAGATACGGATACGACAATATTCTTGCTAGTTGTTGTTATTTATATGTATAAATATTAACGAGGCACGTTACGATACTATACACGTTATTCTAACGAGAGAAAATAATTGTCAACGGAATAATAACACTCATTATAACACAAAGAGTACCGTTTCCAACCGTCTCCCGCAGATGCTCATCGCTTACTGACCGTGGAACACGTCCCTGGCTGGAATGACGTGTCGACACAGCGGACCAATGAGAACGCGACGATTAATTACGTTATGTATAGGTTAGTTGTATCTATGGACCTAACCTTTTCACTTTCTATCTGTTTACTACTGTCGATTAAAAAACATTCTAACGATTAAAAAAATTAATTTATATACAATTTGAAAAAACAATAACGAACAGTATTATGATTATTTATTTATAGATCGACGTAGATTAAAAGAAATAGTAATCGTTTCTTCCTTGAAAATGTGCAAATTGAAATAGGACCACGAAAAAGTTCACCAATTGCCTTGTGTTCGTTTAATAATTAATTTTTAATTAAAGTTTAATAATAAATTAACACCATGGAGAAATCACAGAAAATGCCGAAAGTCGCCAAGGTACTTAATTTTCCTTTTTCATATGCGCCTGCAATGTAAACATGAAATTTCTTTAAAGTTTAAATTATCTACACAATTTTTTATTATAGGTCAAGAATAAAGCTCCTGCTGAAATTCAAATAACAGCAGAGCAGCTATTGCGGGAGGCTAAAGAAAGGGATCTTGAGATTTTACCACCGGTAGGGATACATTTCTTACAAACTATACTACATACAATGTAAGAATATCGTATGATAAACGTGATTTATCATATACGTGTAAATGTCTCCTTTCAGCCACCAAAACAAAAAATTTCTGATCCTCATGAGTTAGCTGATTATCAACATCGGAAGCGTAAAGCTTTCGAAGACAACATCCGTAAAAATCGTATGGTGATTTCAAATTGGATAAAGTATGCACAATGGGAAGAAAGTCAAAAACAGATACAAAGAGCACGGTACGATATGTGTAATTGAATATTATATTTAGGATTCTGTGATACGCAAAATTCTTAACCTTCTGCAAATTAATTTTAGATCTATATACGAACGTGCGCTAGACGTCGATCACAGAAACATAACATTATGGCTGAAATACACAGAAATGGAAATGCGAAATCGTCAAGTGAATCATGCCAGAAATTTGTGGGACCGTGCTGTTACCATATTACCTAGAGCAAATCAATTTTGGTATAAATATACTTATATGGAAGAAATGTTAGAAAATATTGCTGGTAAAATTTTAATTTTCCAAACATTTTAAATGTTATATAAAGAAGATATTGTTAATCAAAAAATTCTTCTAGGAGCGCGTCAAGTATTCGAAAGATGGATGGAATGGGAACCAGATGAACAAGCTTGGCAAACTTACATCAAGTTCGAATTAAGGTACAAAGAAATACAAAGAGCTAGACAAATCTATGAACGTTTTGTAATGGTTCATCCTGATGTTAAACATTGGATTAAGTACGCACGATTCGAAGAGTCCCATGGATTCATTAATGGCGCTCGTAGTGTTTACGAACGAGCTATTAATTTTTATGGCGATGAAAGTTTGGACGAAAAATTGTTTATCGCGTTTGCAAAGTTTGAAGAAGGCCAAAGAGAGGTGAATAAACTTATTTTGTTCCAGTATAGAATACATATTATGCTTTCTTCATTCTATATATTTTTTCTTGCAGCATGATCGAGCTAGAGTAATTTACAAATATGCATTAGATCACATTCCAAAAGAGAAAACACAAGAAATTTATAAGGCGTACACTATACACGAGAAGAAGTATGGCGATCGTTCAGGTGCTGTATTATAATGAGTAACATTTTATGATTAATCTTGCATATAAGCTTAATAATATTACTTCGCTGTTTTAGGTATCGAGGATGTAATTGTAAGCAAAAGAAAATACCAATACGAACAAGAAGTCAAAGAGAATCCTTCCAATTACGATGCTTGGTTTGACTACTTGAGATTAGTGGAATCAGAAGGAAATGTAGATATTATCAGAGAAACTTACGAACGCGCAATAGCTAATGTACCTCCAACTAAAGTAAAAGATATTTCACGGAATTTTATATTTATAATTTAACGCTCGCTTGTTTTTTAAAGTTAGCATATTTTACAGGAAAAACTATTTTGGAGAAGATATATTTATCTTTGGATAAATTATGCTCTTTTCGAAGAACTTGATACCGAAGATATGGAAAGATGTCGACAAGTCTACAGGTAATTCATATTTTTTCTGAAAACTACAAACAATGATTTATACATTCGTAAATAATTGAATAATAAATTAATTAATATAATTTTTCCAGGGCATGCTTAGAACTAATTCCTCATAAACATTTTACTTTTTCGAAAATTTGGTTACTTTACGCATACTTTGAAATAAGACAAAAAAATTTAGCAGCAGCTAGGAAAACATTAGTAAGCACTCGATTAAATATGTACCGTACTAAAACTTGTTTATTTTATTAAATCTGATTATTTGATTTTTAATTACTCTAGGGTATGTCGTTGGGTATTTGTCCTAGAGATAAATTATACCGCGGGTATATCGATTTGGAAATACAATTGAGAGAATTCGATAGATGTAGAATTTTGTATCAAAAGTTTCTCGAGTTTGGTCCAGAGAACTGTACCACATGGATGAAGGTATGTGAAACAAAAACAATTAATTGTACATAACAATTCAGCAATTGCCATATACTCATTAAAAGTTCGTTCTATAGTTTGCAGAGTTGGAAACACTTCTAGGCGACGTAGAACGTGCACGAGCTATTTATGAGTTAGCTATATCACAGCCGCGGTAAACTATGTGAAAATAAATAATTCTTAATTTATATTTTCTAGTATACTGTTGTTCGAAATGTTTATCTTAAATTTGCAGGTTAGATATGCCTGAACTGTTATGGAAGTCGTATATCGACTTCGAAATAGCACAGGACGAAACCGAAAATGCGAGGCAGTTATTTGAAAGGCTATTAGAACGTACGCTACACGTTAAAGTAAGTTAAATAAATGCGATACAACTTGAATTACCTAATAATGTTTGTTGCATTGTAACGATGAAAACGACGACTTTGTTCAGGTCTGGATTGCATACGCTAAATTTGAATTGGCAAATTCAGCATCAGAGGATGGTCCTGATAATGTCGTTCTGGCGAGAAGAATTTTTGAACGTGGAAATGATGCCCTTAGATCAAACGGAGACAAAGAAAGTCGAGCGTTGCTTTTAGAAGCATGGAGAGATTTTGAAAATGAGAAAGGAGACGATGACACACGATCTAAAATTATGGAAAAAATGCCTCGAAGAATTAAACGTAGAAGACGTATCGTGGGAGAAGACGGGGTAAATAAATTCACTAATTTACGATACATTTGTTTGTTTTTTTAAATGTTTGTGTTTATCGTAATTAATTCTTTTATTTTTCTTTTTTTCTAGAGAGACGATGGTTGGGAAGAAGTATTCGATTTTGTTTTCCCAGAAGATGAGTCGCAAAGGCCGAATCTTAAATTTTTGGCCTCTGCCAAGGCTTGGATGAAACAGAAAGAACAGATTGAGAAAAGTGACAATAATCAAGGCACAAATTGTACTCAATTAGAATCCAACAGTTAAAATTTAACTGTACTTGTAAGTGCAAAGATTGTGTATTTTCGATGTAAATAGATTGAAATCTTTCTTTTATATTCTGTGCGTGCGTAAATAAAGACGATTTAAACCTTAAAAAAAATTTTTATTCAGAAAAATGTCACAGTATAATTAGTACTTATTATCATTTCTGTTTTGTTATGCATAACATTTGTACTTGCAAATTGTACGTACTCGTAACGAAATGAATCGGATGTAACGAACTTAAAAAACTGGGATCCGTTAAATAAAAAAATATATGCTGCAATATATAATAACTAAGTTATTATGTATTTTTAATGCCTTTATAATAATTTAGATATACATTTTTATACTTTACTATGAAAGTGTAAATTTGTTTCACGTATATTACCCTCGAATTTTTTTCTTATCAACCATTGCAAATATAGTACATAAGTGCGAAGTATTTTTCTGGCAGTCATGTTCCTTACTATAGTAGACTATTTCGTTAAAAAAAATGTCGATGTAAATAAGTAAATTGAATTAATCTTTTACAAAAGCTATAACCATACTAATATTATAAATGCGAAAGTCACTGTCTGTCTGTCTGTCTGTCTGTCTGTCTGTCTGTTACCTTTTCGCGCCTAAACCACTGAACAGATTTTGATAAAATTTGGCGGAGGAGATAGATTGCATTCTGACGAAGAACATAGGCTATATTGAACAGTCAATCGAATGCAAACCATATAAAATAAATAGTATTCCACGCGGGTGAAACCGCGGGGTGCAGCTAGTATATGTATATGTATATTATGAAAGCAAAATTAACCAAAAACGTAAAAAAAGAAATAAATATTTCAGATTGTAAAACTTCAGTCTCCTACGACAATATAACGTAATATAAAAGATAAGAATGAATGAAGTCGTTATTACATAAAAAGAAAGTATATATTATTTTTGTCAAAGAATACCTCTTTGTACTTCTTAGATTTTAGATTATAGTGAATTGGGTTATCAATCTGATATAATTATCCATCTTTTTAATGCATCCCTTACTTGTATTATTTATTTGTAGAATATTTCTTTTTTTCGTCGCTCTCAAAACCAGAATCCAGGTCGTCGCTTAAACACTTTTTCAATGTATAGCTTTTAGAATTTTGCTGCAAATTCCTTTGTTCGACTAACTTCTTAATGCAACCTATTAACTGTTCAAAAAAGTTAGGGTAGCCAACGTATCCAGGAAAGCCGTTTACGTCTATAATTGCATATTTTCCAGTGTGATTTTCAATAACAACGTCAACGCCGATCAAAACAAGCCCAAAGAGTTTTATAACTTTTTTGACGATTTTTTCAAATATTTCATGTTTCGGTTTAACTGTTAGTGGAATGTCTTCTTCTGATAAAATTGTCCATTTAGATCGATAATTACTATTAAATATAACTGAATTGAAAAATATCGTTTCTAATGTAGTGCAGTCTTCTTCATAAAAATTCTTGAAACTGGGTCTCTCATCTATATGATAATGTTCACCAACTATGTATATTTTGTAAACAATTGCATTATGATTGATAAACTCTTGAGCAACGCAAGGTGGTTGACAATCTTTCAAACCTGCTTCGTTGAAAATGATCATCATCTGAAAATAAGTTTTGTTGTACATTCTATTAAGATCTATACATTCCCTTCTAATAAATAAAATATTTACCTTGTGTGCATCGCTGCAACCCTGAGCGATAAGCGATTTGCAAAGTAACGGAAATTTAATATTTGTTCTTTTCAACAGTGATATATTCTCAACAATGTCTTTACTTTTAATTTCTACAAACTTTGGAGTAAATACATCTGAAAAATAAAAATGCATGTTGAAATATACTGTGATTTATATCTGCTTCTTCTTTTAATTATTATAATTGTATCAGATACAGCTACTTTCTATTTACCATTAAATTGTACATGCTGCTGTATAAGTTCGTATGATTTATAACGATTTATTAAAACCCTAATATTATCCAAAGGATCGATAACTATTACTTCGGGATGTTGGCAGCAGTACTCTTGAATTCTTGAAATGATCGCTTTGGCCTAAAACAGACATTAATTGTAACAATAGTTCCAATTGTAACAAATACTAAGGATACAAGCATACATTTTGATCACCATTTTCTGCGTATACTAATTTATCCGTCATTTTATGTATAAAAACGTCAAGTGGTCCCTGAGATTCAAGATCGGAGTTTACATCAATCTGAAATTAATCCGTTAATTTGAAAATATCACGTATTATACAAACGTTATAAGCTTTAACATAAAGGATTTATCTACATAACCTCACACTATTATAACGTTATACAATGTGTTTAAGTCATGGAAATAAAAATGAAAATAAATATAAAAAAGTATATACCATTTTCAGTAGAAACCCTTCGGATTCGCAAAGATTGTAAAAGTCATTCCAATTAATTTTCTGCCGTTTCTTTTCCGACATCGAGTAACCAATGACATACTTGTCGCACATTTTCCTTTTCAGTTGTTGTTTCCTTATATGGAATATAAATTTTATCCATTAAACCATATAGAGCTCATTATTTTTATCAAACGACTCGAATAAACTGTATTTTATGAACGTGTTATCTACGTGAATCGCATCTTAAGTAGTCTCATATTTATGCCGAAATGTAAGGTTATGTGTGTGACATTTAAAAAAACATCCTTCACGGTACTTGTTACGTTCCCCCTGACTTTTTATAGATGTCACATACGACGTTTCGAGCCTGTTTATCTTCGTAACGTTAAACTTTAGATGAAAACACGCATTTCATGATTTCCTTTAAAGTGCGCACAAATGATCATAGGTTAACGAGATAACACCGACGATCGCATTCTATACATAATTTCATTGCTTTCGTCTAATTATACAACGCTCATAATGTTCCAGTATATGACATCATTTGCTTAGGGCTATTATTATATTTTCAATGTATCGATGCTATTACTAAACATTTTTTCACTCCGCATTGGAAGCACGAATATCACGCAATATACGTCATCGTCTTTGCATCTTCAATTGTAATGCGTGTAATTGCAATATACACTCCACGCCAACGCATATCGGTTGGCGCACTTTTCGTCAAATCAGCAACCCGAAATTATTCCCATATATTCTATTAAAGTACTCGGTATATTCCATTAAAAATAAATTAACACACGTAACATCGACAACTATGTTTTGGGTAGTGGTTTTATTACTTTTCTATAATTATACATAACGTTCGTGACGTTCTTGTTCATATAACATCATTGCTTAGAGCTATAATTATGTACAGTGCATTGGTACCATTATTAAATTTTTTTTTATGCAAGTTCATTTAAAGAGCAAATGTCGCGGAATATACTTTATTCTAACGTATTCTCGATAGCGCGTTCTCCGTCAAATCAGCAACCCTAAATTTCTCCCATACTTTGTATCAACGACTGAAAATAAATGAATTAAATAATTTAAATACAGTACAAAATATGGTTAAGATAACAAAGTTATGGGTGAAAATTTTTGTTCGTCCACCGTAGTCATCGTCGTACTTGCCTTCGAAGATTCATTCCAGGAATTTAACATTTCTTTCGTGACGAAAACGGTTACGCTATTGGCACACGCGTCTGTACTTAATACCTTAACTTCTCCTAGGGAATAAGAACCGGAACTTGCCATGCATAATTCCCCTTCGGAACGCGAGGTGTCTGACGACAATGCTTCGACCTAAAATTATAAAGTGGAATTAATAGATACACGAAGCGATCATTGAACTACAGTACGTCAAATGGGTGTTTTCTTACTTTATTTAATTTTACCGAAGATACGCTGTTGGACGTTCTGTAACACAAAAAAAAAATATGAATTATATGCCTGATCGTCGATGAAAGTAATAATAAATATTAACACTAAAACTACCAAACCACCACATACTTAAAATTTCTTTCTAAAGTCACTTTATTATTAACAATCCTTTTACTAAATTTGTAGGAACAATGATCATAACGGACGATTAATTACAAATTAATGTCTTCTCCCTCCCTCCAATTACAAAGATATAGTTGTATGTATAATATGTACGCGTTGGCCTTGGTAGCTTTAACGTTAAACATTTAGTTTGCGTACCTATAATCCTGATCGACCGCGTTCGAACAATTCGTGTCCAATGTAGAAAATAAAAGTTTCATATGGACATCGTCGTACAAGTCCGCCAAAATTTTTTCCTTTTCGATTACGTTACCATGGTACAAACCTCTTCGATTCGTTATTTCGCCGAGGTCACCGTTTAGACAGTTACTCGTTTGCCGCAATTGTTCGATTTTGTTGAATTCGCGTTTGGGAGTTGCTGCATTAGATGAGATTTTCGAAACGTTCTTGGGAGAGGACTCGAGAGACGCGCAATCGCGTAAAGAGTCAGACGGCGAGACGTGGATAACATTACTAATCGATTGTGCAGGTACTCCCGCCTTATCCTGGGCTAAATGCGATCCTATTGATTTATCTGTTTTTAATTCAGGAATTGCACCCCTTGAAAACGAAGCGATAGCTTCCACAGCGACATCCTTCAAATTATTATTCGAATTATCCGTTGCCTCGTTTTCCATTGTTTTCAGAATTTCGGTTTCGCTGTTCTCGATTGGCTCGTTTGCAGAACTCTTCCTGCAACTTAAATTATCGTTACTATAAATGTTGCAATTTGTACGAGTTTCATTTTTCAATTCATCTTTCAAGAATAAATAAATATAATAATACTGGCTATCAGACCTGGGTACTTTTGAGATCATGTTATTTGGAGTATTATTTCGCAATTATTTCGAATAATGTTGTTTCAGAAATGATCGCGGATATGAAAATAGATATGAAACAAAATAACATATCTTATCTTATCTTAGTTTTTTTTTACTATTATATAAAGAGACAGCGTTTGTTTCTATGTACACAAAAATTTCGAAAACTACTCGATCGATTGATACCACATTTGAACAATAGCTTCCTTGCTATCTCTGGAATAACATAGGCTATGTTGTTTTAAGAAAAATGATATTACGTCTGATTCTGAGACTATACCGATCCCAACCGCTAGGTAGCTGAGCGTTCGTTCGTTGTTTGTTTGTTTATTGAATTCAAGTCCATACATTCAAAGTTGTACTTTGCACTACAGTGTGCTGCTCTCTTTGTACATTTCTTTTCCTAAACTTTTTACAATAATATTACTTAATCATTATTCTTATTGGCTTACTTTTTAATTAATATATGTCTTAAAACTAATCGCAATAAGGAATAACGAAACAATAAACTTTTTAATTTGTAAGTCGAGGTTGCCATACTCTTTACTGTATTATGTTAATAGAATTTATATAGGAATAGTAACTTGTCTATTTTATATATATATATTACATAATATATAACATAATATATAATATAATAATATATTATTATTATTATTATTATTATATTATTATATATTATTATTATATTATTATATATTATTATTATATTATGTTATATATTATGTAATATATATATATATATATAAAATAGACAAGTTACTATTCCTATATAAATTCTATTAACATAATATAATAAAGAGTTTGGCAATCTCGACTTACAAATTAAAAAGTTTATTATATATATATATATATATATAATAAACTTTTTCCCAGGTAACAATTTTCCCAGGTCTGTCCATACAAAAATAGGAATCTTTTGAAGTAGGGATGTTCGATTCACCGGAAAGAATCGATTCTTGAATCGATTTTGAATCGGAATGAGAGAAACGATTCCTCCTAAAAATCGAAACCAAAGAATCGATTCTGCAAGAATCGGTTTCAAAAGAATCGGCTTTTTTGTTTCCTTTTTTATTTTGATTTTTGTAAACAGATTCCCATACGATTCTTCCGCTCGGCATCGGTTATTGTAAACAATCGATCTTTTATTTTTTTACTTCTCGTCCTCTTACACCAAAGGCAGACTCTACATTGCTTATATTTTCATCACTATTCCTATACTTTTTTCGAATAGTAATGTAGGAACGAATGTGCTTTTATTGTTACGAAAAATAGATCTTCGATTCTTACACGAGAGAATCGATCCTCTAAAGAATCGAATCGGAATCGAACATCCCTATTTTGAAGACAACAAACGGAGGCTTCATAAAAAAATGATACATACTCGTTATTATTTTGCTCAGTTTTCAGCTGAGCGTCATTCTGCGGAATGGCGTGATCATTCCCGTTGAAATTAGTTCTATCATTCGTCGCCTTGGAACGAGTCTTTTCTTGCGACGATTCGTTATTGGAATAAATTTTGCTCGTTTCGTTGCCCGAAGAGCGTTCGTTATCCTCTTTGCTACCCGAAGACGACTGACTTTTAGAATTAAAGACAGATTCCACGATAATAGCCTGACGATTAGATCCCCTGGAAGCATCCTCTTTCTCGATTTCCGATTTTCCTTCCTCAGACTTTGACATCGCGCGCGCTGTCTCAGCCACGTGGAGGTCTGCGGACGCTGTTTCGTTCATCATCGCATTCTCGGAAATGAAAAGCTCCAGATTCTGGGTCTGAGAAGTCGGTGGATCGTTTTGCAAATGCTCCAACAGACTCTCGACGCAGTTCACGTTGGAATCAGTTTTAATTTTCTCCTCGATGAACCTCTTTTCTTCCTCGAGGGCGCAGCTGATCAAACGCTCCGTCATATTCTTCGGGTCCCACGATTCAGGAAAGCCTCGTTTCAGGATGTCGTTGTACACCAGATCGTACAGGCTTGTATAATCGTGATCGCCTTTCTGCGAGCACGTTCTCTTCTTGATTTCCTGGGTCGACGTTAGACCCGGCCTGAAACGCGTCGTTTCATCCGCGATGCTTTCGACAGAGGACTTAAACATCTCTCGCAATGGTCTATCGTCGTTAACGCTCGGTAGATCCGTGCTCGGAGACAGTGGATCCACGGAACAAGATGTTAAACTCGAGCTTTCATCTCTAGCTCGGCGGGAACACGATATTTTCGCTATTTTATCGCTGCTCTCTGAAGAATAATCCAATTGTCGTTTACTTTGAGAAGCGTTCGCCGTTGACAGTGGTTCGCGAGAGATCGATGGAGGTGCGTTCGCTTCCTGCGCATAGTACTCTTCGAGTTCTGGCCGCGTTAGAAATTTCTCGATTGTTCTCGTCGACAGAGAAACATCGTTAATTATTTTATCGTACGCGGTCAGGACGTTGTCCAAGTCGTCTATGGAGGGACAATAGAGGTCACCCAGCTCGTCTGCCTCTTCCAAGTCTTCCGCAAAGGAGTTCGTGCTCGAAGACGACACCAGACGCTCGTTCGTTCGAGTTACTTCTTTTTCGATACGATACTTTCTCAGAATATTCGCGAAACGTTCATCGACGATCCTGTAGCGTTCGTTCCTTTCGAGTTCGTCCTTTTCGGAGGTTCCCTCGAGTCTCTTCTCGCGTTTCTCTTCGACCGATCGGGTCTGCTTGCATTCTTCGACGATCCTCTTCGAGGTCGAACGGTCGTGTCCCTTCGACTCTTGCGCATTGCGACCGTTTGACTCCGTACCTTCGAATATTTCCAAGTCTCGCTCTAGCATAGAGATTTCCTCGTTTCTAGTCTCCACAGGGTTTTCCGGCTTTTTCGTAATTTCCGCGTCGAATCGCACCTGCTTCGTGGCTTGGTCGTTTCTGGCTTCAGCGGTGGCTTTCTCTCTTCTCTCTTCTCTAACAGCTTCAAGTGACTGTGCTCGATCTTCCTCCGGCTTTGATTTCTTTTCGTTCTCCGGATCAACAGACTCTGATTCCAGGCTCTTCTCGTTATCCAATATCTTCTCTTCTGGTTTCCCAGAGTCTTCCGTTTTGCCATTGTTTTCCGGCGAATCGTTCTTGGTTCCTTCCAAAGTCATTGAATCGGACGTAGAATGTGACGTAGACTCGACGAGTTTTTCTACTCCGTTCAGCTGTTTCGAGTTCTTTCTTCCTTGCGGGTTGCCAATTGGTTTTACGTTGTTTTCGACGCCGCGTGGCTCGTATGGTATCTTCATGAACTTCGCCTTAGGCGCCGAAGGTCCCACGTTCCAATGGTCGTGGCAGATCGTGTAAGTCCCAACGTTCGCGCTTTCTTGAACGAAAAATGGGTCGGGCGATATGCGGATCATCTCCAAATTCTGGGCTATCAAACTCCTCTCGATGTTCACGGACGGTCCAGCTTGAACGGCGAACGTGCCTACTTTTTCAGCTTGTTCAGGATCGTTGGCTTTCTTCTCTTTTTCGATTACGTTGGTCGCAGCTTGCGTCGCGGGCTCTGGGTTTTGGTTTCCAAACAGTGCTGCGTAGGATGAGAATTCTTTGTACAAGTCTTTGCTCGTCCTGAATTTAGGAGCGGAGAAATCGGTGGTATTCTTGAGTCTTATCGGTGGCTTTCCTTCTTTCGAAGCATCTCGTGCAGCAGGGTCGACGTAATTTCCGTCGATCCAACCGTTCGATTCGTGAAATTTCTGCGCCACGCGCTCTCGAACGTATAACAATTGATCTTTCTCGTCGTCCAGGGTCACTTCGTCGAGATACCTATGAAAATTCTTATTTTTATTTTTATTACAGTAAAGACTAGATAAATGCAAGATAACACGTTGGTCGCCACGTCAGCCAGATATGGATAACAGACCTTTCGTTGAGGGACTAAAATAAATCTGGTTAGGATTCGTGAATTTGGCGACGTTAAAAAATTCTGTACCACGACAAATGCTAACTTATCTAATCTTCAATAGTCTCGAGACAGAATTTTCACTTTGCAACAATTTTCATGAGTTTTAACTTGGCAGCCAACGTGATAATCGGGACCCAAATCATTGCGTTTATCCAGTCGAGGTTTATATTCTGTGTTTACACTTGGCTCGAGCGTATCAATCGGTTACGTCTCATATAGGTTTCAATCATAAGTACCATAATTCATCTTCTAATTGTTAATTGGTAAAGTAATAATTGACTGAATTGTTGACAATTATAGGTTTTATTCATAGCATTCATTGCATTCGTATTTTGCTATATATAAGAGCAGGAAAGCCAGTTAATGGACCCAAAAACGGTATCGCCATCTAGCGGAGAGGTCCAAACTAATTTTTGACATATTCACATTTTATTATTTATTTATTTAGATTATTAAAAGTTTACATCGTAATTATCGAAATTAATATTTTAATTGTTGATATGTACACTAATAATTGACTGTTATTAAGTTATTTAAAGAACTATTATTTATTTTAAATAATTTTAAATAAATAAAAATACCAAAAAATGTGGCGCCATCTCTCGGCAAACCCCCCAAGTTTGTCGTGAAATAGTTTCCACCTAGCACTGCTAGATAGCGCCACCCAAAATGAAAAAATTCAAAATCTAAATTCTCTACTTTTCTAGGCATGTAAATGTAATTTTTTAATCCAACTACCGTAATTCAACTAATAATTGTCTAATGCCTAGTTTTTTAAATAAATAAAAATACCATAAATGTGGCGCCATCTAAGGATGCAAGGTAGAAACTGTTCCACGACAAACTTGGGGAGTTTGTCGAGAGGTGGCGCCACATTTTCGGTATTTTTATTTATTTAAAAAACTAATCATTAGAGTATTATTAGTGCACTAATCGACAATTGTTAGTTAAATTACGATAATTACGATATAAAATTACATTTATATGCAGAGAAATGTAGAGAATTCGCGTTTTAAGTTTTTCCATGTTTGTAACGCCATCTAGCGGCCCAAGGTG